CGCTTTCTTCACATCTTTTTCCAAAATCTAATACAGACATTTGATAATGCACTTCATCTTTAGCAGATCCCCCCAAATGACTAACCATGGCATCATACTTTACATCTCCATCCAACTGATAATGCGCACAGCAAGTCTCAAAATCCTCAAGCCACTCACACAATGTAATATCTCCAGTGGCTTTAGGGTGACCTTAAATTTAGAAATTTTAATAGGAGGTGGGACTTAACATTCACACCTTTTAACACATCAGTGAACGCAGCAATCATGCCACCAAAACCAAAGCAAGTTTCTCAGATTTAGGCATATCGCAATATAACAAATGGACCTATACATGCAATTCTGATTACAAACAGTTAAATAAGATATCGATAAACCGTACCGTGAGAATTAAACAATTAATAATTATCAATTTCACTCATTACAGTCACATCAAGGCAACGATTCAGAGCTCACCAAGAGTAACAGGCCTATTCATAATAAAGTGATTACCCAATAACATTATAACATTATTATCCAAATAGAAATGCTATTACCTTCAACATAATAACAATTCACATTATCTTCTCTATTCATTCAGTAATACAACAAAATGAATCAAATGTAAAGTTCTTATCTGTCCATGATATCATCTCCAACTCAAGGGCTGATAATATCACTAAAGTCTTGTACTGACGCGTAGAAGTTCCACAAATAGATGCACGATGCCTCTTGTACTCTGCTCGCAGCAGTTTGTCGTGGTTCGACTTTAGAAAGATATTGAAAAGGGAGGTACAATATTCCTTGAGTAGTTTAGACTCGGTTGGTAATCAATCAAAAGACATCTGTGTGTAGCATTCAACGCTTTATTTGCACATAAACCAAAGCGAACTATACGAAACAAAACCCTACAAAATATATATTCCAAACAAGAATTATATAATGCGTTATAATTATATAGTATATCAAGCATAACAACATTAGGCAAGTTATACAATTTAACAAAATTTCTGATATAACCTGGCAACACACCAACATCAGAAACAATTTGAAGATTAAATAGCATAGCCTATTAAAATGGTGTAATAACTTGTATTTACCTCAAGCTAGAGTCTGCTTAATGCACCAGTCTGTAAACTACGACTATTGCACGCTCCAACAACACTTCTGAACCTACAGACTATTGGACGCTCCAACAAACTTCTGTTAACTACAGACTAATAATGGCCACCAAAAATTCTGTAACTTCAGACTATTACTGGCCACCAAAACTTCCATAACTTCACTTCACTAAACAAGAATATAACGATTATAAGTAATAACAATCACTCCCCATTAGCGGAATGTACAGTAACAATAATAACAACTCATGTAAATGTACAGCATTAACAATGCATTCAATACCGGCATTAGTCGAATACGGACATGAATTAACTACATATTATAATATAACATACTTATAACTTATTGTATCAATGCACACATATCATTCAATTAAATTAACTACAGATTATAATATACACTTACGCAATACACAAAATAACGAACTGCATACTGTCAAAATAACGTGTGCAGCGCCAGTGGGGAAAAGAAACAACCACAGTACAAAGACTACAATCGGACACACTAGCAGTAGTGTACAACAAAGCTTTATTACAGCCAACAAAACAACGGTCCGATCAATCCAAGATGGAGTATCGAGAGACCGCCCATAGCTGTCTCTTATACACATCTAGACGGAGTCGTACTCGATAAGGACAGAATGGAACTTTGATTTTATATCCTGGGGTACAATATTATCTGGGTCCAACTTAACTTTATCAGAATGAGCCGAAACAGAAATAGGCTTAGCTATGTAACTTGGAGGCGGTGTAGAGGTCTCCGCTGGTGGGACATAGGTTGGGCGAACTTGGCAGAAATGCTCATGTCACCTGTCTCTTATACACATCTAGATGTGTATAAGAGACAGACTCAGTACTACATTTAAGATTATTACAGATTAGAACGTGTCAATCACAATAGTACAAGCGTGATTATAACCTCCGGACATTAAGTAGAGCATAATAAATATGAGTTGTTGACAGAAAAGTGATTATGAACAAACTCAAACAGACAGTATTGAAACGAAGATAAACCTAAACCTATAAGAATGAAGATGAAGCTTGTCATGGCGTGTGACATACAACGTTTCCCCCATACCAAAATTCTTAACAGCACCATCTGTGACAATCCACAGTTGGTCATCAGGACGTGGTAGCATAATAAGCTTATTAGAAGAAAGTGCATTCTGTGCAGTTTTGAAGGCTTCATGTAAAGCATCACTCCAGCATATAGCTTCCTTGGACTGTAGGCCAGCGATTGCCTCCTCTAAGGGAGCGAGGAAGGAAGCACATTGGGGAATAACGCGCGCTAACACATTGTATGCGCCAATAAATGAACGCAAACCCTTAACAGTCTGTGGTGGAATGCAAGATTGTAATGTAGATATACGATGTGGGTTTGCCTGAATAGACCCTAGAGACCATGTCCATCCCAGAATAGTTGTGGTTTTTGGACAGATACTGGTTTTACCAGCAGAAAGTCGCAGGCCACATTTGTAGATGCACTGTAGAAGCCGCCGCCAGTTATAAAGCAGTTCATCATAACTATCCCCACCACAATACAGGTCGTCGGCAAGTTTGGCAACCACACCCTCCTCGATCAAGTCTCCCAGCACGCGACATGTAAGCTCTTCGAGGGCTGTCTCAGACCCGGGCATACCCATGGCGCAGCGAGCGCCACGAAATGGCGTTGCTACGCCGCAATATTTCATGGACTCTCGAGACAAGGGTATTTGGTAAAAGGCTTTAGTTAAGTCAGTGGTAATGAGGTGTTTCCATTTGACAATATTTCTAAGGACGGAATTAACATCAGGCATTAGTGAGGGTTGGGGCTTTGCGTAACGTCCGACTTCAGCAAATGCTGTGACAAGACGGAAACCACCGCTTTCCTTCTTGACCAAGAAAGAAGGGATCATAGAGCTTCAGGATTGGATAATTATGCTATATGCCGAGATTAACTGTGAGTGGAAGCTGTCTCTTATACACATCTAGATGTGTATAAGTTGTCACGAGAATACTGAGGAACTCGACCCTTTCGTTGAGGAGGCAGAACGGGTCCCATGTTGACTACTGCCTGAAATGGACCAACTGAGCCGTTGTATGCCTTAATCACAGGGTCAAAGACGGAGTCTTACTCAATAAGGACAGAATGGAACTTTGATTTTATATCCTGGGGTACAATATTATCTGGGTCCAACTTAACTTTATCAGAATGAGCCGAAACAGAAATAGGCTTAGCTATGTAACTTGGAGGCGGTGTAGAGGTCTCCGCTGGTGGGAAATATGTTGGGCGAACTTGGCAGAAATGCTCATGTCGCTTTACAACCTGGGGCCTGTTGGTAAAATTGGGGATACGGACTCTACCAGCTACACTAGAAATAACGACGTACGGGGGCCAGGATCTTAAAAGTGCAGAAGTGTCACGAGGCTCAAGAGCAAAAACATCATCATTCTGGGAGAAGTCAGGTGGTAAATCTAACTCAATAAAGTCGCCAGGCCAAATAGTAGTTTCTCCCTCTGGAGCGCGCAGAACGCATGCGCGGCGCACGCTAGGAGGACTAGGATGTATAGGACGGGACCCATATACATAGGTAGTTCCGTCGCCCAGAATTATTTGTCTCCTAGCTGGACGAATGGCTATGTCATTCAACTCCATAAATGGGGTGCCCGCGAGTACGTCCACATCGAGTTTCTCGACAACAAGACCTTCAAATTTAAATTCCTTGCCGTCCCTAGTAAACACAATAGAGGTTTCGCCTATGACAATGAGTGGGGATGATCCGTCTGCCTGATGGGCGGACTGGGAGCTAGTTTTGATGGATGCACCTAATACAGTGGCTGTGAAAACTGATATCATGTTACCTGTTGCCCCACTGTCGACTGTGATTCGAACGGTATGATGTTGGTGAAACGCGTCTAGATATGGGGACTGTCTGATCTGAACTCTCAGAGCAGAAGGCTCTAATGCGTCACTAACTGGGTCATCGACAGAATCTGCACTAT